GTATATTTTGAAATTAGGAGTTATGAAACCTCTGGCTTGGTTCAACCTCACCAAGATTGCCTTGGCTGTTTCGGATGTCTTGTGGTTCCACGGTCAATTTATAATTGTCTTCTCTATTTCCATAAAAATGTACTTGGGAAGCCACTGAAGATTTCACTGAGGCTGGAGATAGCTCATCTTGAGTAATATGGACATTTGAAATGATTTTAAAGTATTTTGATCCATGAATATCAGATAACTATGTTCACTTCTCTCTTTAATTTTTTCCCCCAACGTTGCATACTCTTCAATGAACATGCTACTATAAGTGAGAACGTTTTCTTAATTTCTACGCTACATTCTTCATTGTTCCGACAAACACTTGTGAGAAACAATTCAGAGAAGAAAATACTTATTTTGTCTCACAGTCTTAGAGTTTCCAGGGCATTGCTTCGAGGCTTGAGGTGAGTCAGGACCATCATGGAGGAAAGGCCTGGGAGAGGAAGTTGCTTCCCTCATGGCAGCCAAGACACAGAGAGGAGTGGGAAGATCACGGGGCAATTTGTGCCTCTCCTGGGCACGTCTCTGATGTGCACATCCCCGTCCAGGCCAAATTTCCTAAGAAGGTCACCTGTTGGGACTCCAGAAAGGGGTTAATGGTTAATTAAATGACAGCCCATAAGACTCAATCATTTCCCAAAGGTCATCGGCTGGCAACCAGGCTTCCAACATACCAGCCTTAGGGGGGACCTCTTGGGTTCAAGTTTTAACAGTTTCCTTTTAAGGTGGTTGCTGCGTGTGTAGAGAAATGCGGCTGATTTCTGCATGTTGCCTGCGTGGCCTGCCTTTCACTGGGTTCATTTACCAGTGTGTTTTATTTTTTTCTGATGAGCTATGACTACTAATACATCAGGCTTGGTTTTATTCTTTGGGGCATGCCTTTGATTGATAGTTTTTAATTTCAATCCTTCTCATTTTCTGTCATGATGGACCATCTACCGTCACACAGCATGCATGGCTCAGTTTGGTATGTTGGCTAGCATAAGTAGAAATAAATGATGAACTGGTCCTAGTGGCCCATAGCAGATGCCACCACATCACAGCATCCTGAGATAAAGCTATTCGTCTACAACCTTTCTAGGAAGAAGTCTCTGACAGAGTCCATAAAAAAAAATTGAAAATAAAAAAGTGCAAAGCTGCCAAACGTATTTCTTTTTCCTGACGCGATTGGAGAGGACGGTTTGTTTTTTAATTTGAGCTTGGTGCTCTTTCAGCTTAGCGCTTTGCCTTTTGGGTATGCCAACACACAGAGAAAAGCAAGACTTTTCTATTACAATCTTTATTCAGTTTGTTTTTTGACAATCTTACGCATCTGTATAATGTGCAGAATTGGTTATTCTCACTATTCCGTCCACTTTCCCACCCCACCACTGTTTAACCCTCCCTCTTCTTTGCAAACCTCTTTCTCATATTCATATCTTTTTGCTTTGTTGCAAAAATAAAAAACTCTGATTAAGGCTGAGAGTAGCATTTGTCTATTGGTATAAACATGAATATTTAGAAGTCAGTTTGGAGTCATGCCCATTTAACTATGTGATGACAGTAAGGTCTCCCCTTAGAGCTTAGGGTTTCCTTATCTTTTGTGTGTTTGTGGGGGGGGTGGGACTGGGTTGACAGTATCAGGCAAGGGTTTCTGCCTGTGGGAGGACCTCAGATCCAAGCAGAGACTGGCTGGTCACCTCCATAACAGCTGTGCCACTATTACTGCAATGACTACATCTTGCCCAGGAGATTGACCTGTAATTCATAGGATTCTTAGCTTGCTAAATTAGTTAATGCCTTCTTTTCCCTGGCAACTTACATAGAACCTTTCAGGACTATTAAACAGCACTTATTTCAGCAGCTATTAAATAGGGATGAACGTTCTGTCTCCATTCCAGCTTACTTTCTTTGTCTTGCAATGAAGATGTATAGCATCTCCAGGAATAAGACTTATTAACTAGTCCTGGTGGGCAACTGAAAGGAATGACAAGACCCTGGATCACCTTGGGGGCCGCTGGCTTCTCTAACTTACAGCTAGCTCATAAGGAGGTATATCTCACTCAGCACTAGAATTTTTAATAATCCTTGTGCTTTCAGAACAGAACTATGCCAACAGGAAGGGTATTTCTCTTCTGATTCTTTTTTTTTAATGTGCATTTTGAATTGGCTTACAAAGTATCAGATTTATGTATGGATTTTTCATATGAGCTACCTTTTAAAAAGAGTTTGAAGGCCAAACCATACAAGAAGAGATGGAGGCTTATCTCCCCAGTTTGGTGTTGTGTAACTATCTCTGTATCCCACATTCTGCATAGGTTTTACTCTCCAGCAGTCTCCGCACACCGTGCACAGGTCTTTAGTCTTGACTCTGACCCTCTCTCAATCTCCACACCTAGTGGTTTTACCTCCTCCAGGAAGTGACCAAACTCCCTGCTTCTCCCTGGAATCACTGCTTCTGGACCGCTGGCTCATACTATGCCCATGCTTCTCTTATTTTGTACCCCTTGCTGTGGTATAATGTGAACGTGACCCTGAAGGTCACATACGAGAACATAATCCACCGTGCTATGATGTGAGGCGGGCCCTTTAAGACGGGACTGTGGATTCATGCCATTATCACAGGAACAAATTGTCATGACAAAAGAAGAGTTTGGCTCCCTTTGTGAATCACGTGATGTCTTCCACGTGATGAAGCAGCAGGATGACCCTCATCAGAACCAGGTACAACTCAAGTCATATTCAACTTCCCAGTCTTCATAACCATAATCTCAACACATTTGTACTCATTATGTAGTATGCAGACTAAAAAAAGCAACAGGTTGTGATATGTGGGTCTCTGTGGTTCTTCAGACTAGGGATTTTTTGAAGGCATGGAATATCTAGCTATGCTCTTGGATTTGGGAAGACAGAAGGACCCCAGTGAGCGGGAGGAAAACTGGTTCCATTTTCTCTATGCTAGTCAGTATGATCGGGTTGCCACACCTCAATCACACATCCTTGTTTTATAGAATGCAGTAAGAATTTACAAAATCATCAGCAATGTAAGTGATTAGGTGCAACCAATATGAAGAAACTCCCTTGTAGGAGAGGAGGCAGCTGGGTTCTGTAAGAACCCTCCGAGTGTCTGAAGAGTTATTGTGAAGGCTAATCCGGAATGTTAACTTGACTGGCTAGAATCGCCGTGGGTCGCCATGTGAGGGTGTTTCCAGAAAGGTTTAGCTGGGGAGAAAAGACTCTCTGGAATGTAGGTGGCACCATCCCATAGACCAGGGTACTGGAAAAAATGAGGAGAAATGGGTGAAGTATCAACATCACCCTCCAACCCATCCCCCCTGTTTCCTGACTGCAGGTGATCTGTGACCAGAGACTTCACGTTCCTCCTCCTCCTCCATCGCGACCTCGAATTGCAAGGGCCACCTCTGGGTCTACAGGCTTCTTCTCTCTATCTCGTCGCTCATCTCTGTGCTTAGCTACCCCCACCCCCCACCCCTACCTCTAAGTTATTCTTGTCAGGTAATTTGCCACGGCAACATGAAAGGGAACACAGTTATCATCAGGCGGTGGGACCAATCATGTTCTAAAACGGAAACCAAAGGCCAGAAAATAGGAAGCTAATTGGGGTTCAAATGTTAAACACGCCCTTTGTGACAGCTAAAGCTGACTGTCGGTGAAAGAGCTATCTCTGCTCCCCCCTCCCCCAGACAGACACTCTCCAAAGGAGGTCAGAAAACAAACAGTTAAGAGTTTGACCTAAGCGATCCGAACTCCTGCTATTCAAACGCAGTGACTTCTGATGGCCTTCTCAATTGCAAAACACTTTGATGGCAAAAGGAAGTCCAGGGCCTAATTCCAAGCAGCAGCCTGGTCCCAGCCTGCCTCTGCGCTTCCTGCACACTCATTTGCCCTCCCTCCTTGCTGGTAGGTAGCAGGGCTTCCTGAGAGCTCGTAAGTGAGACCAGGCTCTGCCCAGCCCTCTCAGCACGATTGGCAATTAGCCGGACTGCAGCCTTCCAGGACTCACAGGCTCTCAGCGGGTCGCGCCACTCCACCTGGGCTTATTTAGAACCTGGGGAAGGAGGCAGCCACAGGTAGCAGCGGCTTAATTCTGAACTCACGCTAACCAAACATTTAACATTTGCATTTAAAAACAGGAGAACAAGAAAGAGCAATGGAAACCCCACTCAATTAAGGCCGTTTGCAGATGCAAATATGCCTGACACCGAAGAGAAAGGGACTCCGCAGCCCACACCCCTCTCTGCTGACCTTTGTGACCAGACTGCAGAGGGGAAGGGCGCTCCGGAGCCCAGGGAGAAGGAAGTGGGATGGGGCAGCCATGAAGGATGGAGAGGGACAGAAAGGGAATGTTGCTCTATGCCGTGAAACCTGCAATTTCACTCTGACATGAAAATTAGCTCTGTGGCTAATTAGCTTCCTAATATCATTGACTGCCACAGAAAGGATAAAAGTTTGTGAATTTATAAACCCACCTGAAAAAAAGCAAAAAGCCCCAGCGCTTTTGCACGAGGTGAGCCGGTTGAAATTGCAGAAGCTGTTTCAGGAATTAAGCTGCAGCTGCCTTTGTGCCCTCAAAGAGTCCCTCAGACCAGGGGAGGTGCGTAGCCGCGCTGCCCTCCCCGTCCCCGTCCCTGGTCCGCGGCCTGACTTCTCTGAGGGTCCTCCTGTCTTTGACAGCCCTGCTCTAGTGTCACCTCACACTGTGCTGACCTTTGGCCTCCGTACTGCTACCGTCGCTTCTCGCTGTGCCCTCTTGAGTCATCAGACATGTTTTCCTCTCCCCCACATCCCGCACAGCCTTCTGTGGATTGGAGGCATTATGAACCAGGCTGGGAGTCCATTTGGCAGCTCGCCTGTTTACCCATCTAATGTCTTTCCCTCTCGAAGCATCGCCCCGCATCGCCCCGCATCGTCCCGCATCACCCCGCCAACCAATCACTGGATCTACTCACATTTTAGAGCCTTCTGGAGACTTCTAGCTCTCATTCTGGCCTTGAGTGAACGCTCTTCTGCTTCTAGTTTCTTCAAAACACAGCCATGCTCACTCACTGTGCCTCATTACTGCATATATCATGTGTATGTTTTCATTTCTTTCTCACATGAATTCAGGTAGATGTCCCATTATTATTACTGTTCAATGGAAATGAAACCCCAGGAAACCTTATGCTAGTGAACCCAATGACAGTTGCTGGCTTGGTGAGTTACACAGTCATAATTTTGAGCCTAGATCTATTATTTGTTATTGCAACACTCTCGGGTGGGCCTTAGGTCTTTACAGGAGACTGTAGCTTTCCTTAGGTCTCTGACTCTCCCGACACTAGGGACAGTGGGGATGGGTAAGACACAAGCCTGGCAGGGTACCACTTGAAAATCAAGAATGCTATCATTCATTTACTGTGAAAGTCTACAATCCATAGGCTTAGCCTCTCAGTAACATCATCCAAAAACATCTGAGTCAACTACTCCACACCTTTCCGACGTCACTGGCTGCAGTTGTTTGCTTCCAGATGTTTTAAAAACGTGCATTTGGGCTGGAGCTATGGCTCACTGGGAGAGTGCTTGTGTAGTGTATGCGAGGTCACGGGTTTAATCCCCACTACTGCAGAGGAAGTCTATAAGGAATGAAGTACTCTTTCCAATACTGAACTCGCTAAACTTCTCATGAAACGGAAAACCAAACGACTCTTCAAACACCCTCTTCCGGGTTATGGGACTGATTGCAACTGTTCCTCGGCTACTTCTATAAAAAGGTCTGTGATGCTCCAGTAATAGCACTTTAAGAAATAATTAGAATCTTCAGAATAGGATTCGTGTGCATTACTCATCCGAGCTTATGGAATCCAACCAAAAGCACAGCCAAGGAACTGGTGCAGGTTGGTTCTCTGGAACTGCAACTGCAAATAGTCCTGCCATGGATTGGAATGGGACCCCTGGGGGCAGAAATAAGGATACATGCCCATTGAGACCTGAATGTGACCCTGTGCTCGGCAGACTCTGCAATCCGGCTTCTTCCCTGAAGTACCATTTTTAAAGGTTGTCATTACCTATTATAGCAAGGGTGTGTCCAGTTTGGGTATTCTGTTGCTTTCTCTAAGGCATACCTCAGTCACCTGCTTTATGATTGACATAGTATATTAATAGTTGGGTTTCACTCTTGCTTCACTAGTGACCTCGGTCTTTCCAAGTTGCTCTGAGCCATTGCTTCCCTCATAAAGTGTCTCTTCTCTCCAGGCATCTTCCCCTGTATCTTCCAGCTACGTTAAACCCTGCCATCCCCTCCCTTGGCCTTTCAAAAGGGTTCACCCTCATAGACCTGCTTTCATTGTCATGGTGAGTCCTCCTTCTGTTTCTCCATGTGTTTCCTGGGTCCCACCTCCCTTCATCTGGAGTGCAGAGTTTGCTGATGTGTCTGAGTCTCTTCTGGCAACAGACTCCTTTGGGGGCTGGAGAGACAGCTCGGGTCAGTTAAGCATGTTTGCTGCCCTTCCAGGGAACTCTAGTTCAGTTCCCAGTACCCATGTCAGGTGACTCCAGCTCTAGGGGGTCCACACCCTCTTTTGGCATTCCAAGGCACCCCCATGCATATGACACACATGCACACATACACGCACACACTAAAAATTTTTAAAGAGCGAGCTCCTTTAACCCCATTTTTCCCCCCTTGGAAATAGAATGGAAAGGAGTTAGGATATTTAGGATGGATTTAGAAAACTGGAATGCAGGTGTAACTCGGGGAAAAATCACATAGCACCCCATTACTGATCTGAAGCAGAGAAGTTATCATTCCAGTTTCTGGAGATGAAGTTCCTGATACAAGAAGCAGAAGGTGTTCCATAAACAACAAGGAATCGTCCAGAACTGAGTTGACCTGGTCCTCCTGGCATGTTCCTGCTTTGATCTAGGCAGCTCTCAGCAGCTACACCACCCAACTGGACCAACTCCCCCCCCCCGCCCCCCCCCCCACTGTTACCCAGTTCCAGGAAGGCATGCTCCATGACCCCAGCTTCTGGGTCACAGAAGGAAATCTGCATCCTCCTTTGCTTGGCTGAAACCTTTAGCTTGCCCATGAATAGCTTCCATGAGGGATTTCTTAAAATGCCCTCAGGGCGTGTCTGACTGCTCTCCCCCCCCCCCCAACTCAGTCCCTTGGGAGAAGGTACTGTCTAGCAGTTGATTCGAGGCCTGAGGTACTATGGTTGCCAGTTTGGGTCCTGCCATCAAGTCTTTACCTAGCTTCATGACCTCAGGGGAGTCTTGTGACTTCTGTCCGCTCCAGTTTTCTCATCTGTAGAAGAGAGACAACACACCCACTAAAATCGCGAGACGATCGCTGTTTGATAATGATTATATTATGGAAATGCAGGGAGCCTGTCTGTGTAGCACATGGTCCGCCTTTACTTTCATGGGGATTGTTACCACTTCCCAGTAACTCAAGTATAAGCAAGTCCAAGGTTTCCTGGGGCCAGAGTACCATGTGTAGGCCTGAGGAGAGAAACCTGTAGATACCTCCAGACGACCTACTTTTTCTCCTACGGAGTCATTCAAGATAAATCCCATTTCTTATACCATGCTCCATATCTCCAGAAAATTGAACTAATACGAATAACATCCTTGGACTGACTCCAGTTGGAGCCACTCACTCTTCCCCGAATAAGTCCCCATAGTCTTGCCTGTGAGAACGTGTTCACACCAGTCCCACCATCCTGTTCCCGGCCTACAGTTCTGGCCAGAGTTTATCTCTATCCTACCATCTTCAGAGAGTCACCCTCTCTGCCTGCAGCCTCCAGAGAGAAGAGGGCAAACACTCACTTCTACCATCCAGTGGGGCTTCAGAGAGAGCACCACTGACTGAACCCGGAAGAAGGAAGAACCAGTAAGAGAAAAGACCCAAGTCAGGGCGCGTTGACACTGAAGGATCTCTCTTCATGAAAATCTGGTCCAGTGTAAAAATCCAAAGAAGTGAAAAGCACTGGGGGCTGGGGGCTGGAGCTTTACCCAGGAAACATGTAAGCTCACGGGGCTTTTGATGTGCAGGGTTTTCAAGGCCATGATTAAAATCCATAAATAATGAGAAAGTAGACGTAAATGTGGAACAAACAATAGCACTCAATCAGGGCAAAGCCCTCACCAGTTGGGCCAACTGTTGAGTCCCAGACAACAGCAGGCATGCTCACGCTGTGCTGGGGGCTCACCTCCCGTCAGTTGCTGTGTTTAGAATTCCTTCATCCCTGTAGTGTCCCCTGTATGGCATCTGTCCCCCTTCACGGGACTCCTTGAGAACAGAGTCTGTCTTCTGCCCATCTTCACATCTGATGCAGACTCAGCCACAGCGCCCCTCTCCTTGCCTATGTGGGACCCCACCACTTTCTTCAGTTCCTCCTATCTGAGAGAGCCTGTCTGAGGTCAGGGATCAAGGCTGAGCCACTGGACGTTGCCTGACTCTATAGCAACTGAGCTGTCACGAAAGCTGGAGGTCTCCAAAGGTAAAGAGCTGCTGATAGAGGCTCTGCCCACATCCTGATCCCTTCTCTCACCCTTCCTAACCCTGATAGGAAAGCCTTGACAGCCTATCTGCCAGGGTAGGACTCTATTCTGCCCTGAGACCTGAGAGAGAAGCCTGTGGCTTTTGAAAGACACAAGCCAACATGTCAATTTAGTCAATCCCAACTCACTTTTTAGGAGGCCAGATCTCCTGGCCTTTATATTTAGTCAGTGACATGACAGGAGAAGCTATAGAAAATGATCATCTTAAGAAACCAGCTATGGACTAGGGAGACTCTGCCCCAGAGCCAAGGCCAATCTTCATGGCCCACGACTAAAATCTCAGTGCTAGAGAGGTGGAGACAGGAAGATCTCTGGGCCATATTGGCAGCCAAGTTGGGGAGCTGCAGGACAGTGAGAAATTTTGTCTCAGAAATAAAATGTGGGTGTCACCTGAGGAACAAGACCCAAGGTTGTCCTCTGGCCTCCATACACAGTCCCACACAAGCACATGCTTACTCATGCATGTGTACATACACATGCACACACCGAAGAAAACATTTTTGTTTCTCCTTGTCGCAGTTAAGAAATAACAGAAAATTACAATTTTCATATTCTTTGGATGTTTTTGTTTTGTTTTTGCTTCACAATAAGTCTCTTTCCTCCACATTCTTATTAAACCCTGATAATTTCCAACCAAATGTTGCTTAGCCTATCCTCTGTCTTGGAGGGGGTGCGGGGAGAGGGACTTATTTCCAGATTAACACGAAAACTGCATCCCAGTGTATAACTTGATGGATATTATTTTTCTGACTCTAGAATTATTTTCTAATGATAAAATGTTTAAGAGTAGAATTAATGTGGCTGGCAAGATAGCTCGTTTGGGTAAAGGCACTTGCCTCTAACCCAAGAAACCTACGTGGTAGGAGAGAACTAACCACCACAAGTTTTCTTGGATTTCTACTATGTGACATTGTGTAAGGCACACATGCATGTACGCACGTGCACACACACATTAATGTAAAATAAAATAAACAAGTTGGATTAATGAATTAAAGAATAAGAACACATTAAGGGTTCTTAATATGTAAAACTGAGTTAAAGTTATAAAAATATTTTAACTAATGTATGTGGCCATAGGCAGTATACAACTATTCTACATCTATTATAACACCTTTTTTATTAATTATTATAATTATTTAACATTTTACTAAATTATAATATAGAAATGTTATCCTGCTTTAAAGTTACCCCTTTTGTATTTACTACTAATTGCTTCTTTTCTGTATATATGTATGTGTGTGTGTGTGTGTGTGTGTGTGTATGTATACTTTGTTGCTGTTGTTATTTGCTTTGTGTTTTGTTTGTGTTTTTTGAGCAGGTCTCATATATCCCTGGCTGGCCTTGAAGTTAGTATGTGGCTGAAGATGACTGTGAACCTCCAGTGCTGAGAATGAATGCATACACCTCCCCACAGGCTTTATTTGGCGCTGGGAATCCAACCCAGGGCTTCTTGAATGCTAAGCCAGCGCTGCTCTACCAACTGAGCTACCTTCCCGTCTCCTCTTTACTCAGTTTGACAACATTAGAATTTCAGCTCTACAGGTCACTCTGCGTTTGGCTTCTTGCATTCCTAACTTGTCTCTCGTGCTCCAGCTTTATAACCTATTTGCTAACATCTCTAACATCCTAAGATCCTATATTTATTGACCCTTTTAAAAGTGTTGGAACCTGGGTAGCCTTTATAACCACGGAATAAGAGAATGTTATGTTCAGTTAGGAGTTTGGGATCTATCACAGACTCTTTCGTTTTGTTCAGTTGGTTTTAAAAGCTGGGACATTGACTTTCTTTTTCCTCTTGGGAGCCTCTGTTTTCTCACGCCTCTCTCCACTCATTCCGTTGCTGTCCAGGACAAGTCAGGTCAGTTTTCTCTTGCAAAGGACAGGAGAGTCTTTAGTTAAGGCTTTCAGGTCACATGATCTCACAACCATCGAACCTCCCTGCTGGAGCCTTAAAGCAGCCTTAAGCAGCACTGATGGTGACAGCACACAGAAATCAAGCCTGGTTACAGTCAGTAAAACTTTCTTTATGGTTGTACTTATATCTGTAATTTACGCATGATCTTTTAAATATCGATAGATAGATAGATAGATAGTATATAGAAAGTGCTGTATATTATGACATAGGAATCATTGCACATACAGTATTATATATTGTAGTATAATAACCAATATATTTATATAATGAATTTATGTTTGCATTTATGTTTGTTACATAATCACATGTAGTGGCCTATACATTATTTAATTATATATAATATTTTTTTTAAAAAAAAGCATTTTAAAAAATGTGAAAACCATTCTTTGTTGACATGCTTATGAAAGCAGGCAGGGGCTCAATTTGGCCCTTGGCTGTGGTTTGCCAAATGCTTCTCTGTAGCACATCGAGCACAAGCCCTCATGGGGTGATCAGAACAAATTAGCCCACAGGGCAGGCACTGGCATTTTCTCTGACGGTTAGTGGTGGAAACAAGAGATGAAGAAGGCAATGTGACTCTACCGCTGTAAAGACTGCGAAAGAGGGAGCTGGGGTCCTCATCAGATCTCCAGGTAACAGGTTCAGGTATTTCCTCCCCAAGTGGAAGTTCTAGACCTAGGCAGTCCTTTCTTGTCAGAGCACACTTCCAGACCTCCTAGTTCCCAATCCTGTGGTTCGGGGGTTCTCTTTCCCCAACCATTCTGACCCATCCTTGACAGAAAACTGACATGGTCCAGTTTTGCTTAGTGAAGTGGGGATGAACCCAGGCTTCCCATCAGTGAACGGGTGGTCCTCCAAACCCAAGCCATAGACTCAGGATCAAGTCCCACGAATGCCACTTCTTACATGGTAGTGTTTATTGACGCACAAATAAGGCCCAGGCATTCTGTAGATGGCCCATCCCCTAGACATCTCTAATCATTAATATTTCTCATGCTGTGAGCCACATCTTCCTTATTGTGTGAGTTGGCTTTTGAGGGTCTAGTACTCTTAGAAGACAAGACTAGCAACAACAATAAAATCCCTATTCTTTAATAGAGGAAATCCTATTGCTGCCGGAGCTCAGGAGAGCCAGGAGAAGCTAACTGTGAAAATGACGACCGTGGGAACAGAGCTTGCCCTGTCCCTCACTGATGTGACTTCCGTGAGGTCTAGTGATCTAGTTGAAAAGGAGGACAATCAGCTTCAAGTGAGAAAGCACTTCTAAATGAATTGGGTAAACTATAGACATTGATTAGCAGTATCCATATAAGGCCCCTACAATTCTAAGTGTTCCCCCAAATTGAACCATGACTTCCTCGGCCCTACTCAGAAATGACATTTGCTGCCCTCTACAGAACTCCAAGGTCGTGTTTGTAGACCTTTCCTTCCTCCGCCATGAGTGCGAACTGGATTCTTTATGAATTCTCCTGGCACAGTACAAATTCAAAGTGTATGGGGCTTGAAGTAACAAAAGACAGGATACTATTGCAGGGGCTGGTGTGGGGGCTGGCAGCGCACACAGGGTACGACAGTGGTACCAATAGCCTTTGCATTCCGCCGAGGCTCCACCTACTCAGAGCACAATGTGCAGTTCTGCCAGCATCAACACACTGACTAACTGGGCTCTAAAGTCCCCCAGGGTTTCAGGTACATACTTCAGCCTTCTTGGGAACATGACCACCCAGACAAGAAGCCTTTCCTTAGTGCAAAACACTGCGCTCCCGTCTGTGCTGTATGCGCTACCACACAGTTCATGAGCTTCTGCCAAGGGGCTGGAGGTTGAAACACACAGAGACACACAAACAGAAAGACAGAGACATGGACCCCTAGGTACTGGTAAGAAGCCCTTTTTTCAATAGCACCATGGAGGCTTATATACCCAACAGTCAAGTGGGCCAACAGGTGAAAACCTTATCCTCTGATCCTCGAGGCAAGGCACAGCTTTTAGTAACTCTAATCAGAAAGCTCTAGCAGGGAAGAGCAGCTGAAGGCCGGGACTCCAAATGGTCCCAACACCTTAGATTCTGACCAGAACCTACACTGAATGAAAAGTGACCTCTCGTTAGCTGATGCAACCTTTCTGCACACGTTATTGGGGAAATGGGTTTAGATAGTGAAGAAGGTTTGTCCAGGTACCACAAAGCCCTAGATGTAGAAAGATGACTTTGGTCCTGTTCTGTTTCCAAATATCTATGTAACCTTGATGAAATCAACTTTTCTGAAAGCTGATGAATTCTCACCATCAGAACTAGCATGTCAATAGCACTCAGTAGGTCTGTTAGTCTGTGGCTATGATCGACTGCTCAGAGAAGCATGCTAAGACACAGCAGGCACTGTGGTAGCCTGCATTTTGTCCAGGAGGTAAGATAAGCCAAGGAGAACCAGGAAGTTTTTGAATTTACACTGCTAATAAGGTATAGTTAGAATGTACATTCAGACCTTCTAAGTCTATCATACTTTCTCCATCAATGCAGGTTGCTCAAGTCTTCTCGGGAATGAGAGTTGTCTATTCTGATCCACTGAATAATATATGTGAAAGCATGTTTGTGCCTGAAATAGCTTGATTGTTGCTTCCAAACATTTTGAAAATAGGGAACAATATTAGTTATCTATTGCTAAGGAATAAATAAACCACTCCAGTTTCAGCAATTTATAACAAGAAATGGATATTCAGTATGCAACATAAGAAAGAGTCAGGAAGATGGGGATGCTTAGCTGAGAGCATCCGAAAGGCATTTCTCATGTGGTGATGGGTTTTCACCAGCCTGCAGTGGCTGCAGGATTGGAACCTCATCCAGGCGTTGCACATGCTCTGGAGGCCAGCTCAATCCGTCACTGGCTGTGGGTATATAGAATGATTCCCATTGTCCCATGAGGGTCTCTTTTTAATCTTCCCAAATATTGCCCTGAACCAGAAAGGGAGACGGAGAGGCAGAGAGCACATCCCTAATAGGGCCACCATCGTTTTATAACCGAGTATTGGTTGGATATATTGCTTCTGGAAGTGGCCCACCCACCAGAGACACACCACTAAGTCCATCCCATACTCAAAAGGGAATATAATAACAAGGATATGGGCTCCAGAAGATGCAGATTATAAGCATCATCACAGAGACTGGCCACCATGTAAGTTCTTTATAACTCCAGAATCTTCATGGACTCCCACAAGGTCAACATTATAATTTTGCATCTCCTTTTGGACAAAGTCATAAATTAAGTCATATGAATTCTCTCATATTTGCAATATCTAGCCTAAGTCCTGAGGTCTGGAGCCTCTAAAATACTCACAATACTCCCTGATATATTTCATTAACCACAGTAATCTGTGTGTTCTCAAAGGTGCTGTCCTACATGTCTAGGGAGTAAAGGCTTGGTTCCCAGCTTTGGGCAACTGAAAACTGGAGGAAATTTTAGGCAGGAGGTCCTCAGATCACAGGGTGTGTGCCTTTGGGGGAACTGTTGGGTTTTGTCCCTTCTCTCCTGTGAAGTGAGCAGGTTTAGTCTAGCGATGATTCCTGGCTGCAGTGACCCTCACCGAAACCACAGGGCCTATTGTCCACGAGCCAACACCGACCCTTTCTCTTTGTAAGCTGATTGTCTCGGGTGTTTGCTGTAGGCATGGACACCTGACTAACTCGTGTTCTCTGACAAAACATTGGCAAGCATCCTTGGAGGTTTAGTTAGTCAATCTTTATATCACGCTCATGGAAAATGAATTACCTTCACCCACCACCCCCTAGAATTCACCACCCAAGCAAGCTCTCAGGGGTCCTGAATTCACAGACTTAATCACAGCACAAGTTTGGCGTGAGGTACAACTAATTCCAGCAGAAAGACACCAAGTGTCCTGTCTGTTACAGCCTATGCCCGCTACAGAAAGGGGCCTTCCCATTCAAAGGAATAATTTTAATGAATCTGTCTTGGTAATCTGCTCCAGCCCCAGACCAATTAGAGACCTCTGTCTTACTCCTCAGCGCGGATGCAATGAGTCTGAGGGAATGGTGCTGAAAACTTAATTGTGTTAGCCTCCCTGCTCTTGATAACTAGAGTCTGGGGAGAGCAGTCCGTCGCATCTTTACTGACTGCTGTGGTTAACACCAGCAGGGGATCATGGGTGTGTGTCTTTGAGGGGACCATAGGACCCCGCTCACCCCACTCACGTCCAAGCCACAGGATGTGCCATTTTTTCCAGCACGGGCTCTTGGCTGTGGTGTATCTCACTGTTACTATCATCTACAGCTTCTGCTATGGGCAGATTCAGGGTACATGGATACAGATACCATGGTACATCAGAATGGCAAGGCCTCTGGTGTTGTTCTCATTCTTTCTTTCTTTATTTTATTTCTTTATTGTTTTAACTTTTCAAAGAAGTTGTTTGGGCAAATTAGGTGTTGCTGGTTTTCACTCTTAACAATGCTCAAGCCCGGATTTTTAGTATAGCTCCTTGGGGCCCACTCTGGGCATCCTCAGAAAACATGAGTCAGGACCACAGATCTGTGTCTCCTAAAGCCCAACTCTGGCAGTGATGGAGGTGACCCAGGGGCCGGCATTTATGAATCACCGGCCCATATTTCAGTTCTCTACTGCCTCATCTCCCATTCCCTCCACAGGCCGCGGGGACGGTGCCCATTCACCACTTCACAGAAACTGGCCTTGTTGACGTCACCAAGCGCTCAGCTAACCCAGGGCATGCTTCATCTCGGTCTCCCCCTCTGTGGCAAGAAACTGCCGGGCCACACCCTGCTTCTCGAAATCCCCCTCCCTGGGCCGTTGACAACATTCTCTTTCAGTTCTCCTGCCTCCAGTCCAGCTCACCGGGACCCTTTCCTTCCCACTTTGTAAAGGACGGTGCTGCTTGGCGTCCTCGCTTCACCCATCACCTCTCATATTCCTTGGGTGACCCGGGCGAATCCCTCTC